CAATGTAGTTGACTTGGTGACATATGTAGAACACCAGAAGGCCTGCAAACGGTTATCTGCGGCTCTGTTTCTTGACGTTAAAGGGGCATACGACAATGTCACCCACGAAGCCATTCTCAGCGCACTAGAAGGAGTGCGATTCGGTGCCAGGATATATACGTGGGTTCAGAGCTACCTACAGAATAGATCATTTCACGTGCAGACAAAGAATGGCCAGACACCCGAGTATTACTGCAGCCGAGGAGTCCCGCAATGCGGAGTGCTAAGCCCGACGCTGTTCAACCTAACACTCATTGAACTAGTTGGCAAGCAACCAAGCAGTGCACGACTTTCCATTTATGCTGATGACATCTGTGTGTGGACATCAGGTGTGACTCGACTTCAACTTCGCGCTCGACTTCAGAAGGCAGCATCAGTGACATCGTACCACTTACGCAAACAAGGGCTTGAAATCGCAAGTGAGAAGTGTGCAGTCGTGGCTTTCACCAGAAAACCAATGTCCGCTTACGGCATATCAATTAACGGGCAGTTGGTGTCATGCAGCCGGAGTCACAGGTTCTTGGGAGTCATAATCGACCGAAACCTGTTTTGGACACCCCACGTAAACTACGTGAAAAAGCGGCTGACTGCCATTTGTCACTTATTCAGGTTTCTTGCTGGGAAAAGTTGGGGAATATCTGTCGAGTCTATGTTAAAGCTGTACAAAGTACTATTTACTGGATTCCTGCGGTATAGCCTATCTGTTATATCTAACACGTGCAAAACGAACCTGCACACAATCCAAAATATTCAAGCCCAAGCGCTTAGAATATGCCTTGGTTTACCCCGCTGCGCATCCACAGCTGAAACAATTGCCATTGCACTGGACTACTCGATCATGACGCACATCACCATTGAAACGATGCGTACGTACCTCAGGCAACATGCTAGGAATTCTTCCCACCACTTGGCAACCCTCGCTACTGAGAGGCTCCACACGAAATTTAGTGCAATTGTCTGCGCTCATCGTGCGTCGTTTACGTCAGGTGTTACGCCTGCTGAGAAACTGGTGTATCCTCCGTGGTGCCTGACACTTTCACAAGTACGTGTTTCAATTCCAGGAATACAGAAAAAAAATCAAATTTGCCTTCATCAGCCCTAAAACAATTGAGCTTGAGCCTTCTGCACGAAATGTACAACAACCACGTGCACATATACACCGATGGTTCAACCACAGCGTCTGGTTCTTGTGGTGCGGTGGTGATTCCAGCCAGAGGAATCACTGCGAATCAAACTATCACATGTCACTACGTCTACGGCGGCAGAACATGCAGCTTTGCGTGACGCCCTAGAGTACATCGAATCCCAAAGACCGAGTAAATGGGCTGTGTTTTCCGACTCAAAACCAGCCCTGCAGAGCATGCAGTCAGTCCTTCGACGAGGTTGCCATGAACAATTAACTTACGAAGTTGTCAAGCTTGTTCACCATGTCACAGAAACAGGCCACGAGGTCAAGTTTCAGTGGCTTCCTGGCCATTGTAAGATCAGTGGGAATGATTCCGCAGACAACGCGGCTCGCACATCGCACCAAGAAGAGCACACCCTTCCGATTCCTTTGTCAAGGACTGACGCTGCACAGCAACTTCGTCACCTGGCACGTAGTCTGAGTCTGTAGGGGTGGAACACCCCAAGCATAATACATACGAGACTATCCCAAATAAACCCTCGACTGGAACTTCGACCTCCATCCGGACTTCGTCGACGTGAAGCTTCACTTCTTTGTCGCCTTTGGTTGGGGGTTGCCTTCACAAAAGCATATAGAACCCTCATCGGATTGACCGACAACGCGGAATGCGACGTCTGCTGCACCAAAGAAGACATCGACCATCTGATATGCCAATGTCCTCAATTTGCCTCTGAAGGACAGAAGCTTTCGGACGCATTGCGACAATTGGACGATCGGCCACTCTCTGTGCAGATGCTACTGGAACACCGTCATCGCCTTTCGTCGGCTCAAAAAGCAGTCAAAGCTTTCTTGTGCTTTTTGCCTACGTGACCACCTTTAACTTTTGTGTAGTGCCACCGCTGCATACGCGCCAGCCGATTGACTGACAATCCTCATTTTTTTTATTTTTCTCTCTCTCTTTCTTTTCTCTTTCCTTTCTCTCTCATCTTTATGCCCTCTTCCCATTCCCCCAGCGTAGGGTAGCAAAACGGGCATGTGCCTGGTTAACCACCCTGCCTTCCCTCTTGTTGTTTATCCCCCCCCCCCCTTGTGCGTGAAGTACGTTCCCATGCCTTTTTAAGGTTTCAGCGGCTCTGTAACTCTATCGTTATGGCTCCTGCAGAACTATATATTGTTAAAGAACCGTTAATGTGACTCAGGTTTCAGCAACTGCGTTCTCCTTCTCGACAGAATTAGAACACGGGCCGGATGTACTATGTGCGTAACCTCTGTTTCACCGCACTGAATTAATGGGACGGCATTTGGCGATATAGCGATAACGCGACGTCATTTTCTGCACGCAAGGTCATTTGAATAAAGCCATTTCCCCGTGGAACGAGCGGGTCTTTTCGAATGGACGAGCTCACTGTGAATTAAATATAAGGCACCATGGTACGCCGTTGGGATTCTGATAAAAAGTGGAGCTGAACGGGCCGTGATCCACTTAGGCAAATTAGGTCCCCCACGTTATCTGATATACTCGAAATATAATTTAGGTTGACTCCGTACGAGCGTAGGCATGCGGCACCTGCAAACGAAAGAAATGTATGCGTATATGCACGCTGCTAGAGTGTTTTTGTGTGGTTTTCGTGCAGAAGCGAAGGCTACAGAATTCGATATGCGACAATCTAAAACATGGGCGTTGCTGGAGGCGGGGACGAAGGAGGGAGTCAGCTCCCACCCTCCTCAACAGAACCGTTTATTCCGCGATGCCTGAGTGGGACCCGAAAACTAACGAGAAGGAACGATGATGATGGGTATATGCAAGTGAGAACGATAGAGTGCCTGAAATGTGCTTGCACTACATAATTTTTTATTCAAAAGCCATGCTGGTGTTCGTTTGTTAGTTTATTTCAGAAGTTTACCAGCCATCATAAATGATAAAGTGACCAAACCAGGCGTGTAAGGGCTAGACAGGTGACGAGAAAGGCTAGCTTCTCCAAGGTTCTACTTCTCCATCTTTCAAACACCCCCGTCCCTTTCCTGAGTGTTGTGTAGTATGCCGATATTTCTAGACCGCTTTACATGCCTGCCTTTCCTTGCCCACCTTCCCTTCTTTTTTCTACAGCGTTATCATGAAAAAAAAAAACGCTGTACCACACCTGTATTCAGACTTAAAAACAAGGTCAAAATTCAGAGAAACATGAATGTCTTCGCTTTTTGTTCCTCCACATTTGTGACTGTGGGAGAGTAAGAAAAAAAAACAGTATCTCTTATGCGCTCAAATAAAATCACTCAAATGTGACTGCAGCGTCCTTGGTCTTTTTCTTTTCAGTTGATTTATTCGTCCACCGCCCTCACCCACACTCCTGCTTCTAAAGCGTTCTGCGCTTAATGTATACTATAGTTTTGCACTGCCTCGAAGATAGGCGGCCATCCCGAGCATTCTGCATTATACCTGGTTTTACACGGCCTCTCTAATTGGCCCACTTTTGACCAAGGCACGGCGCATTCCATGGCGTCAGTCACAAGTTTTGGGGACAACAAACAAATGGCGCCAAAAAATGTGGGACAAGACGAAGAAGACAACACGACAAGTGCATACTGACAATTTTAATTTGTTTATATTTTTTTATCTCAAACATGACTTAGGTGCAATGCAAGACACTTAGCTGAATGCTGAACAACTAAATGCGACACGTTCAATTATCCAGTAAACTGTGAAACGTGTTCGAAATGCCTGAAATGTTTCATATGCACTACCAGAGGATTCTAATGTCAACCCACAAAAAATTGAGTCTAAATAGGTCGCTGGAGATGAGAAGGTTTTCTCTCTAGCAGTATTTTTTACTTCTTTCCAGGTAATGAATTTCAAAACTTTTTCTTTCATCATGGCGGATGTGTAGACAAAATGTGTGGTCATGTGATGATTAAAACCAACAATAATTGACATACACGAGCAGTTGTTGGTGAAAAAACTTTATTTCAACTTTCATCGTGAGCTTGGTACTTGTGTCGTCATAATGAAGAATATCTGCTACCGAGGCCTACGTCGAAGCACTTACGCACAACTTTTAAACCAACACACCAGGCATATTCGTCTCCTTAGCACAGTCCTTCCTTTTTGCTCCATTGAGCAACTCTCTTTTGGCGTAATCAATTTGAGATGCCTAAATAAACTTTCCTGGAAAATTGACTTGAATGTTCTCACAGCCTTAGACCATAGTATAACACAAAAGAAAAATTGTGGGATACTTATTCTTTGCCTTTAAGAGTTGAACTCGATAGCAAAATTTTGCTCCTAGAGCTTATGTCAAGCACTTAGTGTACGAAATCTTTTCGAACTTGCTATGCACCCTCTACGTGGCGTTAAAGGTGTAGTAGCGTACTGGCAGCCACCACATTTTACACACCACTGAAATGGCTTGCTAGCTCCATACTTATCTAGAAGTTTCACTCTTATGCAATACCGTCTCGTTGGTGCATGTCATTCGAGGAGCAACAACTAACTAGTTGAAGTACCACTAGGCATTCGTGAAGTGTTTGTGAACACTAAAAAACTATACTATATGTACGCCAGGCTGTCAAGGGCGTTATTTTTGTGTCTACACGTGTTAGGTTGCGGGCAGCTAAATGTCTCAAATGCTAACGTTTTATGTACTGTCATTGTTAGTGAAAACACTAACAATTTTACGTTGGTAGCCTGCACGTGCAGGAAGGCACTCACATGAAGGTTCCCTAATTTTACGCTTTGACGAGGCTTGCTACCGGCTGCAAAGAATATAAAACTCTTAAGTGAAAATAAAATAGTGCAACTAAAGCTCCGTTCTGTGCGTTTCTCCCGTGCCGATAGCCTTTAATGCAGAAAGAGTGCATACGTCGCTGGACGTCTGCGGTAAGCGTCCTTTGGTTGAAGGCATCGTAGTGGTCCAGCAATTTTCTGGGAATTACGATCGATGTCAGCAGTGCCGGAGCAAGGAACAGCGCAGGCAGACTCGCAGAGGAACACGGCCGTGGCGATGCCCAGCATGGCCAGCCAGAAGAGCAGCAGGTCCTGGAATTCCGAAAACTTTAGGCGGCCGTCGCTGATGACTTGACCGCAGCCCTCCCAGTTGCCCGACGACTCCTGCCACCACTTGGCCACCAGGCCGGACTCGCGAAGCCACAAAATCCTGGAATTTTCGGTTCGCAATGCGAAATTTAGGTATTATATTCTTGGGGCATTGTTACAGCTGCTGGTTCTATTTTTATTATTGTGTCTTTTCACTCATGTCTAGATGTAACTATGTTGCATTAACGCATTGTTTTCTGGGTCAAGTATTGCCTCAATCACTTCATCGCAGTGTATTCTTATTTATTTCCAGCATTTTGAATGCCCCTGGAGGGGTCTCACAGTGATGTCTGGGCGCATACGTTAGATTAACGCAACATTAGTTTTTTTTTTTAATATATAGCATTTAAAATGAAGAGGTTTCTGACGATGCACATCTTAAGTGGAAAGACTTTTCCATACTATTAGTATTCAGACGAAAAATAAAGATGTATGGCTAGTGGTTTGGACTGTAGAGCATACAAGACCTTGTTGTGGGCGGTTTGGTTAAAATGGCGGGTCCTGGCGACATTTAGGAGGTCCAGGAAGATACATTAAAACTGTTGTGGAAGATCGATAGGCGGGTAACCTTCCGGTGCCTTACAAGGTTAATCGAGTGTTTGTATGGGCTTGTACGTCATAAACATTAACATACACTTACTATTGTGTTGACTAAGACTGCAGCCAAAGCTTGCGTCACAGCTGGAGCGACGCTACCCAGAAATAGCGAAGGTTTTGCCATTTCAGCATTGGGCGTAACCCTTGTGCTCCGTTGTGTACTCTTCACGCAACAAAACAACTATGAACAAAACAACCAACAAAACAACTATGAAAAAATGTTATGCGAATGTTTCCAAAGTCAAGGCGGCAGTGCACCACAACGACCACTCATATTGCATTCATATTGCAACCCGAGACCTGACCTTGCCCGCAACGCGACCTTGTCCGCAACGCGACAAGGTCAGGTCTAACTACGTACACCCCTTCAACGAAAGCTTGCGGGACAAAAAATTCGCGATAAACCTATATACCCGCTTCGGTTGGGAGTATAGCCACCAATTAAATGTTCCAGCCTGTGAAAGCTATTGCAACCTATACAGTTACCCGCTAAATAAGCGTCATGCATCAACAGGGCAGAAACTCGTACTTATGGTCGCGCACACGTCCCGTAAATTTTTGCTGCTGGATCAACACCCTTATAATTTATTATATCACGTGATCGTCAATCACAGGATACGGTTTCCATTAATGGCGGGTAGCAATGAGATAAGCAATACGAAAATCAGCGTCACGTGATTTTTCTGAATACATGATCGCACGAATAAATTTAATATAATAGTTCTTGTGCATCTAAGAAAACAGCGTAGCTGGTGGCGTACGCGTATTCTCTTCGAGATCTCGTTACTTTTGGGAACATTTGAGGGTCGAACCAGTCATTCGTATAAAATGAGAGACAAAAAACAGGCGCCCACCATGCGTTTCTGCTTCTGCGTGAATGTCTCGTTTTACGCTCAACTTTTCTGAAACTCTATGCGCTATCTCGCTATGTTTCAAGTTTCGTTAAAAGTATCACGTTATTTTTTGCCTATTTAGCTGGCGTTTTCATACATTTAGGAGTCTAAGCCAGGGCGTAGGCAGAATTTATTTTATTTTTATTTTTTTGGGGGGGGGGGGCACCATTTTGATTTGAAGTGACGTCTGGACAAACAGATGTGGTGAAGTGTTGTTCTGTGCCCTATATTCCATGGCGAAAAAAATGGGGGAGCGGGGGACATGAGGTTGGTGTGCCACCCCTTGGCTACGCAACTGGTGTAAGCTTACGCAATGGTATATTGCGAAGGTGTACGCACGACAACGAGGTTATCGCACACTGTTACTCGTGGATACTCCAACCTGTTGTTGATGGCCTGTTTCCGCGCGGCGGCCAGACGGTTGTTGAGGTAGAAGACCGAGTTGAACTTGAACATGGGCTCTCGGGCTAGGTAGAACTCCCCCCGCTCGAAGCTGGCGCACGCAGCCGTGGCCCTGGCGGCGACGCTGGCACGGCTCATGATGAGCACCGCCTTGCCCGCGACCACCTCGAGCAGAGTCTGGTCCGAGAGAGCCACCGACGTGGGCAGGTCTGTCTTGTGAGTCTGCATCATGCGCCACACCTTCTGGTAGTCCGGGTCCTTCGAGTCCTGAACGAAGCGCACGAGGGAGGCCGCAAGAGATACATTAAGGCAGCTGCCCACCCCAAATGTGGGCATCGCACGAAGCTGTAGCCCCGCCATGGTGGTCTAGTGGCTAAGGTACTCAGCTGCTGACCCGCAGGTCACGGGATCGAATCCTGGTTGCAGCGGCTGCATTTCCGATGGAGGCGGAAACGTTGTAGGCCCATGGGCTCAGATTTGGGTGCACGTCCAAAAGCCCCAGGTGGTCTCGATTTCCGGAGCCCTCCATTACGGCGTCTCTCATAATCATGTGGTGGTTTTGGGACGTTAAACCCGACATATCAATCAATCACACGGAGGTGCAAACATATGTTCCGACGATGTTGGTTGTGGAATTATCAGTAACGCAGATCTTTCCACAACTACACAAAAGATGGACTGCGAAGCACGGCCGTTTGCATCCTGCCGTCCTTATTTTGTGTTTGTAGCAAGATTTGCGAGACTATACGAACAAGCCCTTCCAAATTTTCTGCAATGTTGGAGGTGCGTAGAACGCAGAGATCTTTTAGTGGCAGGAAATGAGATTGTGACCGGCATTTCCATGTGCATCGTTTCTGCATCTAGCGAACAATAACATATGAATATGAATGCTAGCATGCATGACTATAAGATCGAGTGATAAAATTGTTCTGCTCGATCTGAAGCGTGTGTGTGTGTGTATTATTATTATTATTATTATTATTATTATTATTATTATTATTATTATTATTATTATTATTATTACAACTCGGCAATATTATTACTACAACTCGGCATCTTCTAGCGCGCGCGCGCGCTAGAAGATGCCGAGTTGTAATATTAATATCCGGATTAGCGTTCCGAAACCACGCTATGATCGATTACGAGAGACGCCGTAGTTGAGGGCTCCAGGACTTTCGACCACCTGGGATTATTTAACCCGCTCGTAAGTCTAAGTACGCGGTCTCGAGAATTTCGGCCTTCGTCGAAAATGTGGTCTCCGCGGCCGGGATTCGAACCCGCGACCTGTCGGTCAGCATTCGAGCACGACAACCAGTAGACCGCCATTGCGGGTGTGCAGGGATAGTAGGCCGATCCTAACAGAACTCTACATTGATTTTTTTTTAATTTTTGTGCGCGATTCTAGCACAGTTTGATATGGCTGCTGCTCTCGATGGCTTGGCCTACAAATGTTGATGGCCCTTTTATATTGATCAGCATCATCATCCTCATCCCATTATTAATCATTTTGTTGTGTAGGGAACAATCCAAGTTATACACGGAATTATCGAACTTACTCTTACAATCTGTCACCACTTTGGTGAATATCAAGTTCGTGAATCGCACGCGCTTCGTTGTTTTACGCACCTGTGCTACGTCAGCTGTTGAGTTGTAGTATAACTGATTGAACAGGATCGCATGGGAGGTATACTCACACGGACAGACGACACCCCAGCGCTTCCGGCGATTGTGTATGGCTTCATGGCTGGCCTAGCCGCCAGGTGACGCATGCTGTCGATGCGGTCTGCCTCCTCCCGGACCATCATCATGGCTTTCATCTGTCCGGCCACCACCGTGGTTACCACGATAACGAGGAGCCAGAAGGTGCCCACCACCACTCGGGCCGAGAACCTCGTGGGCGTAGAGGTGGAGGCTGCGGGTCATCGTAAAGTGTGCGCATGTGCAGTGGCGTCCATTCTTAGGGTGAACAAGACTTACCCCCGTATTCACAAACGCTCCTTCACTCAAAAGCTCTCCTCGACTTGAAAAAGTCGATGGGAGCGCACTCTCTTGGCAGACCGAGTCACCTGCATACCGGCAATATTCTGCAGCGATTATTGAGAAGCGCAGCGTCACTTTCAGTCGAGCAGCGGCGTAGTGCTCAACTCAGTCAAGTGAAGGATGGAATTCGAGTCGAGGAGCGTTTCTGAATACGTGGGTTAGCGTGACAGCGTTCTGTGGAGGGCCAGTGCACCCAGCATGACCGCGAATCGAAGCGAAGTAGCTCAGGTGCGCAAGGACCCTCGAGTTCCACGAGAGCTACTACGTCGTGTCATCGGCCGCTGCACTAAAGGCGCCACTCTTGTTTCACTGTAGTACGTACGGCAAGAGCAGCGCATTCCCGTGCGCCTGCGCTGTATCGTTTCGATGTGCGACCGCGCCACAAACACTGGCGCTCCGCAGAATACGGCCACAGCTCAGCCGTGTTCACCATGAAGTTGATGGCACTGTACTATCAGCGTCAAATCAAACCTGAACAGCGGCAAGCCTTTGCGATAGCGTAGTGCGTGCCGTCCAGTTATCACCATTGCCAGGCGCGCGCATCCTGTTCAGCAGCTTTGCGCATATATGCGTGACCTGTTCGTAGTGATAAGTAGACGGCGTGCACTATACCATCGCGAAGGCTTGCCACTGTTCGGGTTTCATTTGACGCTGATAGTACGTACCCAAGTTTTAAAGTGCCGCTAAGCAACATCGAAATCAAAGGTAAGACAGCAGTTTCTTTTTTTCGCCTACACTCCCCTTCGTACAGGTGCTATCTCATCCTCGTCGCTGGTTTCTGCAGAATGCACGTGTAATGTGAGCACTATAAGCCTCGAGCCAGTCAGGAGCTCACGCTTTTCGACTAAACGTTAATTATCTCCACCTGCGCAGTCGCAAACGCAGGAAGCGAAGTGAAATAAGTTTGTCGCACACGACAGGTCATGCGAGACAAGACAAGACGGGCGTGAAACTGCATGGCGAAGCAGGGCAGGTGGCGGTTACCAACGGGTATCTCTCCTATATTGACCAATTGAGATCTTATCTTGCCCTGACGTCACGTGAACATACGGATAGCTTCACGAATTGCGGAGGAAAGCCGGGAAACGTCGGGAGAGAATAGCGCGTTGGTTCTTCGTAATTTAAGATTTGGTTCAGGGCCCTCAGCAACGAGTACCGACACAATCTTTAAAAGTGAAGCTCTAGAGCTCTGCCTGAAAAGGCGGGTAACCACAAAAAGCCTCTCCGTGCTATTGCTTATCACACTCCGTAGCTTCACAGCCGCGCCCAGTGACGGAGGCAGTCCACGCAGTGACGGCGCAAGCCGAATACGAGGGACGAAAGGAGCCGCGCTTCTACCGGGGTGCCACAGCCAGCTTTACAGGTTAGTTCTGGCCCGGCAATTCAGACGCTCTTGAAAAGTGTGTTGTTGAATTCCTCCGCTTAGAGAAGAAAAACTTGATCTAGAACTGTCACTGGAGAGAGAGATTGTATATATCATTGTAATCACCCGGCAACTAGAGTAGCCTGTCAGGTGAAAAAAACAGCCAAACCTCTCCAGCTTCCCATTAAAATAATTCTCTATCTCTCCAGTGGCAGATCTAGATCAAGTTTTTCTGCTCTAAGCGGAGCAATCACATTCCAATGGCGGTTTGGGAACGTGATTTGTGTGTTCGAACGGCAGATTGAGAGCAACCGCAGGTCACGGGTTGCTCCGCCGAAATCGGTGGATTCTACCGGAAATTCACATGATGTATTCTGTGCGCCCACATTTCATCCAGTCACCGATGGATGTCCGTGGACGACTACAAAACGCTTCGCGCGCCCTCTACTGCTCCCTTGCTAGATTTCCGCTCACCAAATACTCCTGTCGATACGCGCGCTCTTCCAATCGCAGATTTGGCGAGAGCGACCCCGCTCGAATATGCGCGCTCCGTTCGCAATCCGGCCCAGCGATCATCCATTGGAATTCAACATGTGACAGGCTGTGGTTCGATTATACTTTGCATCTGCTATAAGAAAAGACCTATCGCCAGCCAAGAAGGAAGGCCAAGAAGGATGTCCCTAAGATTCACCAGGTTCGCAAATTGTTTAGCTTTATACAGCTAGAGAAACCCCCTCAAGACTATGTTTCTTAGGTGTCGCAAAATGATTTGCTTTTATTTTTTGTTTCCTAGGTATGCAGTGTTGACGCTGTGCACACACCAGAGTCGGGCAACATGTATAAAATATTTCACTCTGATTTTAATAGCTTTTTTTTTTTACTGAGCATCACCAAGAGGCAGTTGCAATGGTCAACGAGTCAACACAGTTCCACCTAGTTTGTGCCTTGCATGCAGCCCTAAGCGCAGAAATCAGCGTGTCACTGGGCAATAATTGAATCATCGTTGTTTACGTGCACCTCAATCACGTGACCAATCTGCCACTAGTAAGTCATAAGTTGCTGTCTCCCGTGACGTCACACTACGATGACACGTCACTTACACGTCGTATTGATGGAGACGAAATGGCAACGGCCCGTGTACTACACAATGGCCATGCACGCTGAATGACCCCGGATGCTTACTGATTGACGTTGTGCCAATTCCAAAAAAAACACAAACACACACACACACACACACAAAATAAATACACGAACATGACGACGTCTTGTGTGTCTCTCTTTTGTGCGTCTTTTTTAATTAGCGGCAGAATGTAAATCAATAAGTAATACGAACTGGGCCAAGAAGAAATTCTTTTTAATTGTAACACCAGGTCGTCGAAATTTCCGGAGCCCTTCAGTACAGTGTGCCTCGTAATCATATCGTGGTTTCGGCATGCAAAACCCCGGTATTGTAAGTTGCATGTCTTAACTTCTGTTTTGCCATGACTCTTTTCGCAACACAAAATTGCATGCGACGCTAATGAAAAGCAACAGCCGAGGCAAATAATCAAGACCAGCGACTTTGTACGGGTAGCAAAACATCATTCAACGCAACGGGTGGTCGCTATTATAGTTCTCTTGGCAAGAGGTGCAAGAAGGACGTACGTGTGTATGTGCGAATGGCCTTCTTTGTTTCGGTCGCACGCTTAAAGTCCGGAAATGCTTCGCGTCCGTTACATTGTCGTCGTTGAACGCAGCGCCTTACCAAAGCAATGTCGCGTAATTATGATGGCTGCACCGAAGGGAGCAGTGTCGCAATCATCTTTTCCGGCCTTCGAGCTGCGTAACGCATAATGTGCCCCAGTCAGCTCTATTTTTCAAGGGCGACTTCGAGCGGCGCACACTGCCAAAAACGTAACATTTTTACGTGTGTATAAGGACGTTTGGTTTTCCTATAGATGGCTTGCACTGACGTCAATGATACAGCCATGTTGGTGCACTGCATGGAACGCGTAAGGTTTGTGACGTCGTGTGTTGATGTTATCATTGCACCACTAGCAAGTTCTCTTGTCACGGACGCACAGAATCCAATAAAATACTGGTTGCATCGTAATCATATTGAAGTTGTTCAAGTGAAGTCATTAAGTTGCCTTCAAGTCATCAAGGACGTCCTGTTGGTGAATCAATACATTATTAGGCTGCGCCAATGACGTCACGTGCAATCTATCTATAGCCAGACTTAGCAGATCTTACCGAGCCAATAAGCAAATAATCATCACAAAGAATGCCCGAAAAACAGGAATTAAAAGAATTTTTCCTGTTCATGAAACTATTATAATTATGCTTAAAACATTCGCTCAAGTGCGAATCGGAAATTTAAAAAAAATCACTTCAATTGTCTCGTACAGTGAAAATATGTGCAACTAGGCACGAAAGAAAATTTTGTTTCTTAACATTGTATCAAGGGTAGTCTCCACTCAGATGAATGCACGTTTGACATTGCATATGGTTAACATTACTTGTTGATACCACTAATGTATATGTTCGACTTTCACAGTCGATCAAATACTCAAAGGCATCGACAAACGTGCTACTGGTGAACGTGGTTGTCGCTAAAATAACTATATTTACTGGGAAAGCCCAAAATACGAGAAAAGAGTCTGGAAAATTCTACAAGCGCTCAGCAAAAATAGAAAGCCAAGACCACTTATTATAAGCGGACCTGAAAAATAGGCCTATAGTTGACACCCTCGTGTTTAGAAAGTAAAATCGAATCGCAGCTCAGAACAAATGCAATTTTCTTATTCGCCGATCTTTAACTGCGAATAATGTATGACGATAGTTGCAAGGGATGACGCGAAAAGTAGAATAGGTAAGTTTGCGTAGCCACCACTGCCAGATTGTCTTGGCAGATATTTCTGTTCACTTAAGATGGTCAAAATTCAACAAATCCTGAAGTAGTACTGACAAAAATTCGAAATGTTTTTTTTGTCATCGTTTCTCTAAGTAAGAACATGAATTTCAACTAGCTGAAAGAGCGCCGTGGTGCTGGGGATGCATCTCATATATTTGATATTGAGGGGGTGGCTTCTCCGTGACGTGCCATGGCGGTGTGACGTCACGGAAAGACAGCAATTGGTGACGTATTAGCGGCCGGTCTGCCATCTGCTCGTGGCACACGTAAGCAACGATGGGTGCATTGTCTTCACGACAGCGATTTCTGCGATTCAGGTTGCATACAGGACGTGCAGAGTTGAGAAACTCAGTAGGACTGAGTTGACTCGTCGGGATAACGTCCATGACGGTGGGGCTGCATTGATGATGCTCAGCGACGAAAACATTTAAATCAAAGAAAATATCTTATACGTGTTGGCAAACGCCGTTGTGTGCGGAGTGTCAACACTGCGTAACAAGAGAACAAAAATGTCCCCTTTGTAATGTCTCAAATCATTTCAGTACAAGGTATTTTCCCTTCGTATGTAGTTAAATCTTGCTGCCGTGTGTAAGGAAATTGTTTATAATGGTCAAGGTGAGCTTTCGCCCACAAGCATACATGACAAATTTATGCCTACACAGCTTTTAAATTACATTATAAGCTACCTTTCTTAAATTCTTTCAAACGTAAGTAGATTACGTATTACAGCTGTCTGGAAGTAGTGAAATCACATTAGCATTGCTTTTGAAATGTAATGAAATTGCTTTAACAAAAGTTTATCATTCACGCACAAATAATTCACGCAGCTACAAACGTTTCGGTATTTGGCACTGTGGCGTCATGCGAAGCCTGTGTGATGTCACGCTGTTCTTTTCTGGCGCAGCACGGGAGCACTAACGAGCAGTTTACATTGTTCGCCACTCATGGCCATTCACTCTGGCTCTGCCTCGTCACTTGCAGGTATACAGCAGACGAACTTGCCTTTGTTGTTTTCTTGAAGTTCTCGCTTGATTTACTTTGTCATAAAGGAAGCGAGGAAGCGTACTTGCTGCATTTGAGTCTAAAGTAATTTGGGAAGTAACGAGTAAAATTTTTGAATTTACTCGTGATGTAATTTTATTACATTACTCAATACAACGGGGGAGAATAATGTAGTTTAGTTCACTATACGAAACGTTTGCTACTCTACACACAGCAATGACAAACTTGAAAACCTTAATATTATTTCTGTAATTTTGTTGCTCTCACGTATGCGCACGAGACAACGAAAATCAATTAAGTGTGCACCGATCCTGAAAGTGCATGGAAAGAAAATTTCCGTTCGCCTTATCTTGCCTTCAAGGCAGCTGCTTTCCACGAAAGACCACAAGTGGTTTCCGAAAGCTTGCACGAACGTGGAACGACGTGTCGACACTCCGCCGACGCCCCAGTGGACCCAGTCGCTGAATGACCACAGAAGCGCCGACAGAACCATGCTGCAGCCGAACAGGAGCCACACCTGGAAGTATACGAAAGAAGCCCCCGCTTTGATTCCCGAATGCGCCTGGCATGACGCCAAGTGCAGCGCGCCATGCTATCGTGGCTGTGAGGCAATCAGTTGCAACACATTTTCCGTAAAGGTGTCCAGCTCATTTCTACAGCGAAGACCACCCGCTGACAATTTTTGCAATGCTTTCTTGTTCCAAGGAAAGGAAGACCTTGCGGCTCTGGCTATGCAAGCCGCTAGAGCGAGTTAATCACGCACAAAAGCTGATTTTTGTGACCTTTTTCCAAACCCAAAATCCTGACAAAACCACTGCATGTGACTATGCAGTGCAACTTTGTGAGATCCTAATAATTGCAATGTTCATATCTTTACCCCCTTAACCTCTGTCAGCCGAGTTTCCCACCGGCCTCCGTGATTCAGTGCTGTAGTATTGCCAAAGCTTGTAGCCGCGCGATTTTTTGCGTGTGAGGTGATGTCAAGAGAGAGAGAGAGAAAGAATGTAGGAAAGGTAGGGAGGTTAACTATACTATGCGTCCAGTTTGCTACCCTACACATGGGGAGGGGGAGAGGGGAGTAAAAAAGAGAGAGAAGGATAGACACATGTTACATCACACACACAATGCCGAGTTTCACAGGTGGTCCCTCAATGAAGTTGCTGTCAAGTATCTGAGGAGGGCTCGTGTGGCTTTCTGTGCTGATGTGCTGCGCGACCAGGCTCCTGAGATCTTTGCTTCATTAAATGGCCGGTCATCGAGTCTATTCAAGGCACACTGGAGAGTCTGGCGATCTTCATCAAATTGGGCACAGTGGCACAAGAGATGTTCAATAGTCTCTATACAGTTGCAGCTTTCACACGTGGATGAATCTGCCATGCCAATGCGATGGCTGAATGACTTAGTAAATGCTACCCCAGTCCACAGCCGGCACAGCATTGTAGCGTCACGTCGAGAAATCTTGGATGGCAGTTGTTTCTGGAGATTCTTAGGGCGATGATTGGAGTTAAGTGGAGAATTCCAGTGCCAAAGAGTGTTCTCGAGTGTCGCCCTTTCAATACTTTTGTCAAGCCTTATTTTTGTAAATAACCGCAGCATAGATGTATGCGCGCGACTATTTGGTAGACAGTGACCGCCACGCTGTTTAACAAATTGTAACGCCCCTAACAGGAAGAACTCGCATACTAACAATTCAGAGTTACGAGTGTTAAGACCCCCACAGAAACCACAGAATACAGCCGAACTACATATATAAGGAAGGAGCGGAGTAGCACATAAACGTATAGACTGTACTTTGATATTTGTTCACTTTCCTTTTATAGTCTTAAACGATTGCCTGATATAATACTGTATTCATATCAGGTGACGCATTGAGATTTCTAAGAAAAGTTAGGGCACGCAAGGCAGGATAAAATGTATATCATGACATCACTGGATATCATTAGAAAGGTCTAGCCCTGCAATAAACGTTAAATATCCTTTATAAATGTGAAAACGTCCATGAAGATTAAGACGCAAGAAAACAGAACCAAGACATTCATTAAAGGGGCTCTAAAGAGAAACAATGACTTACTTTACATTGACAAACCTCACTCTAGGAACTCTAGTGTCACGTGTTTCACTATCATACGTTCATTTTTAGCGGAGAAAATCAAAGTTGAAGTTTCGTGTTTGTTTTTTTATTTTTTCCCGCCGAAATCTTTGTGCGTGTCGCCAAAGTTTTCAAAATGCATTTTTCGTATTTTCACGGACATTAGCTCAGGCGAAATTTCCTGTAACTTCAGTACGCTAGGTCTATGGCACCCACAGATGACGATGTACTTCATTTTTATTCACTATAAACTACAGCGAGCCAGGGTCGTCGCCGAGGACCTCAGAAGATGTTCCTCGAACGATGTGTTCCCTTGCAGCCTAGCCCCGGGCACAGCAACAACCGTTGGGCAAGTAAAGTTTATTAACTCAACTACGTAGGGCCCAGTTTGAAATCTCTTACGTCACGGTGTTTGGTGCGTGAATTTTCAAAATGGTGCCTTCAGCCGCTTTTTTTTTTTTTTTGCGCGCGCGTTTTCTCGTTTACGAAGCGTCGTATCATGGCAAGAGTGGTGTTTTTTTTTTTGAGATTTCGCAATTGTACTTACTCATACACAAATTTTTTTTTTGCTCTTTAGTGTCCCTTTAGGTTCCACTTTCTCTTGTATCCAACTCAGTTCACCAGAAGTACGTTCATCAATCCTTTCAAAAACACACCAGCGTCAAAACACCAGCTTATGATGATGATGATGACCTATTAGACGAGAGCGCGCACACATTATCAACCGATTTTCGTGTGAATAGACTTACCTCCCACGTGAGTACTTGGATGATCCCGAAAATGTTACTCTGGTGCTTGGAAAGGCGACCGGCGAGGATCATGAGCTCGATGGGCAGGATGGTCTCCGTTTCGACGGCCACATCTCGCTTCTCACTCGTCGGGTTGATCACGGACGCCGCCAGGTCGGCCTCCTGCGACGCCACAGGATAAAGGTGAAGCCGCAGAACTTTCAGCACATCTCCTCCCGACTGAAAAATCCCGCATGTCATTATGCCATTCTAATAATTCCAAACGTTTCTGTGAGATTCTTGCGGGAACATTTAGCAAGTATAGGGAAAATGTAAGGGCTTCATAAGGATTCAGTACGAAAGCATGTAAGGATTCTAACGCGGCGTATTATTCCCAATCGCGCCACGTTTTGAAAGAAGCACCAAAATGGCAGGTCAACGCGTGCTTACGTCTCGCTGAAGCATTCCCAGCACGCCGGTCCAGTTTCCGTCCGCCTTGCGCAGTCCCCAGTAAGAATCAGGTGGGAAAGCGATGGTGTAACTGTGAAAGTAAGTACAAACAGTTCTACGTACAGGTCATTGGTATAAGCGCGCTGTTCATTATTCGCATTTCTTTGTCATATATTGCGACTGGTTGCGCGCATACCATTCCACGTGAACCCTTCGTTAAGTAATGGCATCGCTTCGTTGCATTCAGGCTTGCTTCTCCGTCATAGGCCGTGGCTTGGTTTACTTTAAAATGCTATTATTAACTGTTACTTTTCTTTATTTAATTTTAGACTTGTGGGGTTTCGTTCTTGACAGTATTGCATCAGACGCTGGAGAAAGGCTGTGCGGTTGGTTCGAACAATGTGAATGTCTGACATTGAGTGACATATAAGTTATGTTCACCACGTGTACTTGAGCCTACATGCATATTTATACTACGGAGCGTTGGTGTAGCCAATGGGGCCGGGTTGGGGGAGGGTGTTCGAGCTTGCTTCCCTCCCTCTCCGAAAAACTTTCACTTGTGCTGGCATATACAGGCAAGTAGCGCGTTGGCAGGATAACTGACTGGACTCAAAAGAGAAGGCGAGCCGGTTAAGGGGAGATAGAAAGTTAGGTGGACAGATGAGATTAGGAAATTTGCGGGTATAAAGTGGCAGCAGCAAGCACAGGACCGAGTCGACTGGCGGAACATGGGAGAGGTATTTGTCCTGCAGTGGGCGTAGCCAGGCTGATGATGATGACGGTGATGACGATGAAATGATATATGCAAGCACACATACAAACTAACCATACATAAAGTATACTTGTAGCCGCCCCCTCCACTCCTCTGAAAAATATTTGGATACGTTCCTGCGACGGAGCCTGGAAGATGAAATGTATGCGTGAAACGCATTATAAATATAATTCACAACGTTTACGGAGTTCCCTGCGTCACATGTAATACTATTACGTGTAAATCAAAGCCTAAGTTATTTGTAACCAACTAAAATTGAGCACAATTGAATAGCAACCTAATATTGACACATCGGCGAGCTAAATTTATGCGTGTGAAGCGTGAAGATATGAATGAATCCAACAATCATTTTCATTGTGAAGTTCATTTCAGGGCACCACACGGTTATTTGTTCTTCTGTCGTTGTTTTTGTTTGTTTTTATTTATACATAGACACATGGGAAAGTACGCTACATTAGAGCCAACTATTTCATCACCATGACGCAAATATGGAAAAAAAGAACAGAAGTACTATGCACATACAATCTCTTACTTTGTCCTCAGGGATGACGCAATCGCCTTCAGCATTTCGCCGCAGACACCACGGACGTCCACATTGAAGCCAGGGGTGTCGATCACGTGGTACGGGGCGTACTGTGCATAATGAGAGAGAAAGAAGAGATACGTGCTTTTATTTTGACGTCTCGAGCTAAATCAGTGGTTCTCACACGCAGAGGAGATCAAACTTCGAAGATAAAAAGGCAGGCTTATAGTTAACCGTCCTTAGTTTCATATTGTACCTTGCCACTATTTGTACAGACTCTATCCGCAATGTGATCCTGATATATCAACTAGACTATGCTCATACATACTGTTCTCATCCATGCGTTATCTGCCCGAAAGTGTACATAGTATGTACGTAGTGCCTCTGATTAGTTTTTTCTTCTTCTATTCGATTTTCTAGTGTTTGTGTGTTCGTCTTGTACGTTACTGTCATAATGTTGGCATAACTGGCTCTAACGTAGCCTACCTCTCATATTTTGCCAAATATACATAAAAAAGGAGGTTGAGAGGAAACATGGTTGAAAATTTTAACAAGCACTCACGCAGCGGCTAACTGCGTTTTGATTCGTTAATTACCATGGACTGCTCCAGAGTCCTTGAGTCTGCTTTTCTTTTCTTAAGCCGAATCTTTGTTACAATGTGGACTGGAAACGTCATCCTTGCACAATCTCATGGGAACTGCATTTGTTTGTTGTTTGTTTGTTTTTTCACTGGAGATTACACGTATGCCCAAGCTCACATATTCGATAGCAGTGAAATACTTCGGATCAACGTCAGCGAAAGGATGACCCTTCATAACGCAGGCAAAAGAAAGCAGGATCATCGTTCGAGTAGGCGCTCGTGTAACACAACCCAGCTATTTCGAAAGCGATACTTTGGCAGTATTACGCAGCCTGGTATAGCCAAACATACGGATGGGTTTCGGGACCGTGATACATGGGCTGTTAACTTAGCCGTTTCGTTGCTTTAACAACTAAACCGACGCCTAGGCTCTGACTTAAAAAACAGTGTTATATACGATAGACGCATCCGCATGAAACCAATTGGGTGTGTGTATTCGTTGCTTTACGACTGTGTTAATTTTGTGTCACGACGTGTGAAATTAAGGACGCAATGTTTTAACAGTTCAGGATGGTGGCGCCCTTATGTCACATGTAAAATCGTCTATACTGCTATACATAAATATCTCCTACTACATGAAAACCAAGATGCAGCGATATCCGACCGCCTTGCAATGCTTGTCAGTCTTGTTCCGTTTATGGGAGCTGCCAGTAAAGATATCGAAGAGCTCGCGAGCAGACGCGGGAGGATGTCGAAATCGAAAGTTCAATACAGACCAGAAACACGGCGATGCTATTGGAAACGTAATACCCGCTTACGGTGCCTCCCAATCTAGAGCTTCGCAACGAAACCGACAAAAGTCAATCGATGAACGTGCGTTGCTTCACTGGCAGTATACGGGTAATTCGAGAGCTTGAACGGGTCCTACACTGCGTGGGTGCCGAGTGGCACGACTGCATCACTGGGCTTTTCAGACGGTGTTTCCGAGAAACTGCTGTAGCCAGCGCACCGAGGGCCAACAAAGGCCGGTATTTTCATCTCCCACGCACGGTAAGGAGAGTATACGAGTCAAATAAGTCTCGGTTAGACAAAGTAATTATTGTAGAGTGCACACAGAGGCCTTCGCCCTCGTCCCTGAATGACGTTGTATCATCGTTAAGGCTAATTTCTGTTAGTCTTTGGCCGCCATACTCAAAACAGTTTTTTTTTTAAATGAAGTCTATTACGGTGTTTTTTGTTGTTCTCTTCTGCGCAGCTGCTAAACGGGCTCGAATGCTGGGCACATAGGTAGTTGTAAGCGCGGACATTTTTGCTATTTTTATGATCTTAGTTTTGTGTTTCTCTGCAGGTTTTAATCACTTCTTGGTGCCATCAACCATGCTGTCGCGTTGGAGGCCTTACTAATAGCAGTTTTTAATATGTACCCAAAATATTTCCTCATGGGAACCGCCATAAAATTGCGTTATGCGCACAGATATTTTCTGCGTGTATATATGCGCTTACCAAAATTGTTACAAAAAAGATGCACATTTTCGCCGCAGGTGGGGCTTTCATCGAAGTGATCTTCACATGCGAAAGTAGCCTAATATAAGAATATAAGACAACCAAGGACGAAGTATAGCGCGGTTACTTCTGTTCTGGCCGACAAGCGATTGGTAAAAGAAGGTGGGAAAATAATCGCGTGATAGGAAAAGAAAATGAGAATGCGCGCATGTGCACTTACACGAGAAAACGGAGTAAAAGAATTAAGCCACAATACATATGTGTCGCCTGCACAAACAAGAATAACACGTTATAGGTTCAATTGCGAATAGATTATCAATCAGCATCAGTGCATGCGCAACATCTTGTCATGATCCAGCAATGAAAATAAAAATATCTAACTAATCTGCCTACGTGAAAGTATAGTAGTGATGATAGCGGGGAAAGTCAAGAGCCATTGAATAGGTAGAAAGGAAAGTTTGCCAGCGCTTTCTATCATACCACGAGTAACAGCTTCATGTTTATGGGGTCACACTATTCTCGAAGCTCTTTTCGTGGTGGGAACGGAAACCCGATTGAAGGACTGCAGCTGTAATATCATCAAATGAGTGGCCAGGAATTCACACATTTTTTTCATGAGTCAGGAATACTGGCAATATGACACTTATGGTGGTTTAGTCGGTATCTGAAGGGCAAGCGATACGATGGCCTTGTTCGTCACTACAATCGTGAGGCCTGCACTTTCAATAGCCTCAAAACGTCTGTTGGCGTTCCAGTTTTGTGTTCTCTACCGACCACGGATTTGAATGGTTGCATTCCGCTGGCGTTCTCACAGCTCATGGCATCCATCTTAGTTTTTAGTATACATCGCGTTAACGGCTATGCATCTGCGGAGACTGTATTTTGAAACAACAAATGCTTTCTCTTGCTTTAGCGATGACGATGCTCTTTGCGTGGCGATGGAGTCATTGTGCTCTCGGCACTCAGCAGGCCAGCCTCTTAATGCCTCTAGTTTTCCTAGCCGCAGTGAATTGCCTGCAATAGGTGCAACGATACCGCAACAATCGCCACCATCGCCGTTTTCACCAGCAACTCGACTTTCATCGAACTGACCGACCAACCACCAAAGCCTCGCTGCTCCTGTGCGAGGAATAACAGACTTGAATTTGTCAGCTCAGCAGCTGGCGGGCTTCCGTTACCATGTCCTCAATCAAGCCGGCAACCAATCAACCAGACCTTATGCGCTATCAGTGTTCACTTTAGGAACCAGACTACGACATAGAAC